TAGGATGACAGGCGTGAGCCACCGCAGCTGGCCGAAGGATAACCCTTTTAGAGTTAAAATGATTATAGAGTTGAGATGGTAAGTCGTCCCTGGCGAAGTTGCCAGTGGTTTGTCATGTTGGATGATACTGTTTACACCGTCTGCCTGGAGGTAATGAGTTTGTGGTTGGTGCACTTGGTCAAACTCAGGGTGTTCGCGGTAGAGGGATCTGGAGCCCCGGAAGAGGCGTGGTGGGGGGCTTCAGCGGGCCCACAGGCTTCCTGAAGCTGCATGTGAATTCCCATGTGCACGTGTGTTCTAGCGGAGAGTACAATCCACGGCGTGCGGCAGATTCTCAGCAGGGAAGGGGACGCTTCTTCACAGCTGCAGCTCCGCCGACGGTGATTCCAGAATGGTATACAGCTGACACTAACAGGCTGCACACGGCTCAGAAGGCAAGGCAGGGGTTTGAAAGGTTTGCTCCTCCTCCTTGTCCTTACCCCACAACAAATCTATTGTGTTAAAGGTGCCACCAAATCAGGTGCTGGTTCAAATCTCCAGTTGGCCAATCTCATTTTTTACATTTCTTGAGGCCTCAACTTTTCTCATTGTTAAAACAGGGATAGCTCTAGTGTCTTTGATTTTTGTGTAAACACAAAAGTGCTTTGAGCATAGGAAATGCTATTGAATTGCAAAGTATTAATGATAAAGGGAATATATGCTGCACTCTGGGAGGCCGAGGCGGGCGGATTGCTCCAGGTCAGGAGTTCGAAACCAGCCTGAGCAAGTGAGACCCCGTCTCTACTATAAATAGAAATTAATTGGCCAACTAATATATATAGAAAAAATGAGCCGGGCATGGTGGCGCATGCCTGTAGTCCCAGCTACTCGGGAGGCTGAGGCAGCAGGATTGCTTGAACCCAGGAGATTGAGGTTGCTGTGAGCTAGGCTGACGCCACGGCACTCACTCTAGCCTGGGTAACAAAGCAAGACTGTCTCAAAAAATAAAAATAAAAAAAATCATGAATACACTGACGTTCAGAGAACTCAGGCCACTTGATCAAAGTCACACAGCTAGAATGGGATGGAGCAGAGCTTGCACTGAGAATCTGATTCTGTCTGATGCCAACGTCAATGTCTGTCATCGTCACCCACCAAGGCACTCCTAATGGTGGAGAAAAGGAGGGTCACCTAGCAGGAAGGTGGGGACCAGTCTACCCAGTATAGCACCTTGAAATCTGCGGTTTACCTGAAAATGGCTGCACAGTGACAGCATCCTCTGTATGAGACCCACACTTGTTTTAATATCAAAGAACTTCCCACCAATCTTTAAGTGCAATGATGCTTTGGGTGGGCGTGGGTACCCCAGTGTAGGTCTCTGCCACCCCCCCAACCTCACACCCCATTTTTCCATATCATGTGTTTGTCGTTTCTGTTTGAATCTTATATTTTGCTCGATTAGAAGCTCCTGGAGGGCAAGATATGAATCTGATTTCTCCTTTCTCCCTCCTAAGGGACCAGAGCCCAGATGAAACCAGGTACACAGATGATGAATTTGGTAAAAGAGTTATTGATCCCCTGCCTAATTAAGTCAGGTGCCATGGAAGACACAGACAGTGACAATGTGGTCCTTGCTCTCAAGACATTTACAGTTGAGCTGGACAGGCCCAGCTTCCAGAATCTGCTTGGAAATGATCCTCCCAAGACATGTGGCACACCGTTTTAAAAGCTTAGGACTGTAACAAAGCAATAGAAGAAATGGCAGGTAATTAGACAGCAAACAAAGTTTCATTAAATAGGACAAATTTTGTGAAAAGTAATAACCTGTTCCTCTGGAAGGGCAGCATTGTGTCAATTAAAGAGCACACCTTAAAGTTGCAAAGTACAAATTATTTATTGATGTTGAAACCACTGTTTCCCAAGAGGGAAAGTTGAATACAGTCGGCTCGTTCGATGCTATCGGCTTTGGCAGAAATCCTCAATCTCTGGTTAATTGGACCTCGAGCTCAAGGGTCATGTTCAGACCTTTAGCAGCCCAAATAAACCCATGATCCTTTCTGAAACACTTGGGTGGGTTCTGGGTTTATCAGATTCAATTCTATTCACCGAATATTTCCCAAGCTCACTGTGTAGGTGGCGGGATGCAGGGAGGCAGCGACGTGTGATGGATGGCGCACACACTTTGCAATGAGGCAAGGATCCAGGATGCCGGCTGCTCCGTGAATTAGCGGAGGGCATTAGTGCGGGGCAGGCTTCCACCTCTCTGAGCCTCAGTCTATTAAAAACCATAACATAGAGATCCTGATACTCATCTTGCAGGTGGTTGCATGGATTCGTTGGGGTAATAGACATAAATTCCCTGCACAGAGAATTGCACTGAGTAACGAACTCCACGAATGTGCCCTGGTATAAGAGGCGATCAGAGAAATATTAAGGAAATGATCTCCTGATGTCCCAGTTCAAGAAACTCCCCAGTTTGGGTGAAAGCCCAATATGTTAACGTGATACAAATGCATGAGTGTATGGGTATACTAATATCTTTTTTTTTTTTTTTGGAGAGTCGTTGTCAGGTCGTGAGTGCGGTTGGCATCAGCTAGCTCACAGACCTCAACTCCCTGGGTCAAGCGATCTCCTGCTCAGGGCTCCGGTAGCTGGACTACAGGCATATGCACCATGCCTGGCTCATTTTCAATAATAAACAAAACATGGCAATAATAAACAATCAACACAACTAGCAGAGATGGGGTCTCACTCTTGCTCAGGCTGGTTTCGAACTCCTGACCTCGAGCAATCTGTCTGCCTTGGCCTCCCAGAGTGCTGGGATTGCAGGCGTGAGCCACCGCGCCCGGCCGGGTATGATTTTTTTTTTAAAGCTAATGTTTACTAAGCACTTACCATGTGCCCCCCCCCACTGCACTATACAATTATACCTGGATAATTTCATTCATTCTGCATATTAATAAAACTGTATATAGCAGGAACCATGATTATTCCCAATGAGAAAGCTGAGGCTTGAGCAGTTTAAGTAACATCCCCAGCAAGGAGCACAGAGCTAGAAAGTGATAGAAGCCAGGTTTGAACCTTGACTGCTGCCTCCAAAGGAAAATTTCAATGCACAAGCAATGAGACAGGAAGAAGCTAGAAGAGGCTTCAGGCAGGAGAGGCAAGCAGGAGTATTTCAGGCACCAAAATCATGGGAGAAGGAGTCCAGGTAGGAGAGAAAAGCAGATGTGAAGAGTTAGCAGGATGGAACAGCTCCTTCTGTCCAGGAATTCAGGTGGGTCAAGATAGAGAGTTTGGGATGGAGGAGGGGAAGGATCTAGAAAATGAATGAGGGGCAGCAGGGAGAAGTCCAGGTAGTGGGACACCTCCAAGGCCAGGCATAAGGACTTGGACTTTCCCTGGAGTAAAGGGGGACCAGTGAAGGGTGTTGAAGACAGGATCGCTGTGTATAGAGCATGTGGTCTACCTGCCTATGTCCCAAGAGGAGGTTGCTCTGGGCAGTATATCTGAACAATCAGGCCACATCCTATTTTCCAACTAAATTACTACTTTCTAGATACTATGAATGTGCAATTCTCACTCCCTCCCCTACTAGCCAATAAGTTCCTTAAATTAAATGTTGATTCTGATCACTTTTGGTTTCCCCCAAGTGCCTGGCCTATGTTAGGTGCTTAAAGTTCTTGTTGAATGAATGAGTGGTTAAAAGCATGAGTGAATTCACATGTAGGTCTATGAGCCTCTGAAGAGTTCAGTCTTGAGCTGGATTTAAGAAAATGCATGTATTTGAAGGAGATCTTATACCTAAACATGAAAGGGAAAACAAAAAAGCTTCTAGGAGAAAGCATAGGAGAACATCATCATGATGGAAAAGATTTCTTAAACAGAAGATGAAAAGCACAAGCCATAAAATTGGTAAGTTGAACTTCATGAAAATTAAGAATATTCATCAAAGACACTATTGTGAGGGTGAAAAGGGCAAGCCACAGACTAGGAGAATAAATTTGTCTTGATAGTTACATTTATATAATAAAGAACTCCTTAAAATTCATTTAAAAATCCAATTTTTAAGGCCGGGCATGGTGGCTCACACCTGTAATCCTAACTCTCTGGGAGGCCGAGAGGGGCGGATTGCTCGAGGTCAAGAGTTCGAAACCAGGCTGAGCAAGAGCAAGACCCCGTCTACTATAAATAGAAAGAAATTAATTGGCCAACTAATATATATAGAAAAAATTAGCCGGGCATGGCGGCGCATGCCTGTAGTCCCAGCTACTCGGGAGGCTGAGGCAGGAGGATCACTTGAGCCCAGGAGTCTGAGGTTGCTATGAGCTAGGCTGATGCCACGGCACTCACTCTAGCCTGGGCAACAAAATGAGACTCTGACTCAAAAAAAGAAAAAAAAAAAAATCCAATTTTTAAAAATGTGGCAAAACATCAATAATCACATCACTCAATCAGCAGTGATTAAAAGAAAAAAAAGCATACAAAAAGGTGTCCAACATCATTGCTCATTAGGGAAATACAAATTGAAACAAGATATCACTCCACACCCACGAGGACAGGTATAATTAAAAGACTGATACTACCAATTATTGGAGCATGTGAAGCAACTGGGACTCTCACAGAGTACTGGTGGGAGTATAATTTGGTGCAACCACTTTGGAAAGCTATTTGGCAACGTCTATTAAAGCAGAGCATACACACGCCCCCCCTGCGACCCAGCCACTGAACTCTGGGGCCGAGTTTTCCCCATGGAGAAAAAAGTGCATATCTCCAACCGTATAGTTTTAAATGTTCATAACAGCTCTATTATTTATTTAAGCATGGTCACACACCATTATGACAATAGCCCCAAAGTGGAAATAATCTATTATCTATCCACAGGAAAATATAGATAAATAGATTGTAGCACATTCACACAATAGTATACTCACAGCAGTAAAGAACCAACTATTGCTACAGCAACAAAATGCAAGAATGTCAAAGACATTATATTGAGTGAAAGGAAACCAAATACAAAAATTTAAGACCAGGAAAAATGGATCAGTAGTGACAGAGGTCAGAGCAGCAGTTTCCTCTGGGTGGTATAGACTGGAAGTGGGCCTGAGGGACGCTGGTGGGCTACTGGAAATGTCTTTTGATCTGGCTGGTGAGTTCACGTGTGTATCCACATGGAAAAATTCATTCAGCCATGCATTTAAGATTAGTGCACGTATGTTCAGTAACTGTCAGTTGAAAAAGAGAAAAAAATAAAAAAAGATTAGTGCACGTTAGTGTGTGTTATACTGCAATACAGAGATTTTTTTAAAAGAGAAAGGTATTAAACGATTAATTAATTTCAAAACTTGCAGATTGAAGAAGAGGCCTGATATATTAAGGGAAATATTAATATAAGAATGAATTTCAATGATAAGAAAATTAATTAAAGGCATGGAACATGAAATAAAAGGAGTAGAATGGGATGTTTGAAGACCTGGAGTAGAAAACTAAAATATCAGATGAAGTTAAAACTAGATAAAATTCATTCTAAAGCCCAGCATTAATGTTAGGGAAAAACAATCAGTGAGGCTGTCAGTCCAGAACTGGAGGATAGGGTAGCTGGTGGGCCCCTGCTTGTAGAACTGAAGAAACTAGATTTTGACTTGAAAGTCAACTAGAAGATAATAATTCCTTTTTTTTTTTTTTTTTTTTTTTTTTTGAGACAGAGTCTCGCTTTGTTGCCCAGGTTAGAGTGAGTGCCATGACATCAGCCTAGCTCACAGCAACCTCAAACTCCTGGGCTCAAGCAATCCTGCTGCCTCAGCCTCCCAAGTAGCTGGGACTACAGGCATGTGCCACCATGCCCAGCTAATTTTTTTTTCTATATATATTAGTTGGCCAATTAATTTCTTTCTATTTATAGTAGAGACAGGGTCTTGCTCTTGCTCAGGCTGGTTTCAAACACCTGACCTTGACCAGTCCACCTGCCTTGGCCTCCCAGAGTGCTAAGATTACAGGTGTGAGCCACCACGCCCGGCCAATAATTCCTGAACTGGACAAGGGTACCTGTGAAAACAAAGATGATGCTGGTGGTGATGATAACAATATAAATGTAACAGTACTTAGCATTTACTGAGCACCTACTATGTGCCGGCCCCTTTTTTCAGCACTTCATCATATCATCTCATTTAATCCTCACAACCACTCTGTGAAGACTGCTGTGACTGTCCCAGTTTTCCAAAGGGAGAAACCAAAGAAGTAACTTACCCAAAGTCTCCAAGCCTGGGAGGAAGAGACCTGGAGGGAGGAGGTTAGGAAATCCATTGAATTAAATGAATGTAAATGACTTCACAGACATTTAAACAGACCTAAAGCACAGGCAAATTATTTACATGATATAAATTCTTTGGAATAAACCAGCCCATTGTACACCTAGCAGCATATTGGCTAGAATTCCAGGGAGAGGATAGCATTTGAGCACCTTTTACATGCTTTCGGGTATATAAACAACATACATACAACACCAAAACTAAATGTAAAAGGTAGAAAGTACAAAGCAGTGCACCTTAACGGGAAAATAAAGGTTCTAGCACTAGACCTTGTTTGAAAGAAGTTATTGGGCAACCTATGCCCAGAGCTATTATATTGTGAACTTCTAAGGTTTGGAATTTTCCATTTCAGGTCCTTTGGCTCACTCTTGATAACTTATCTTCTTCCAAGTTGCCAATGTCAGGCTAGGCAGCAAGATATGAAAAGGTCCAGGAAAATATTCAATAAGTAAATATTTATTGAGCACTTACTATATGCCAGGCTTTGTTTTAGAGGAATGGAGTACAGTGATAAATAAAATAGGAATCCTTGCTGGGCCTCATGAAACCTTATCATAATCAAGAGGACACAAAATACAGAAATAAACATATATAGTGTTAGGTAGTGATTACGCGCAGTAGAGAAAAATGAAGCGGGCTAATGGGAGGCATTATACAGGAGGGTGAGTGACAGCTTTTCAGAGGAGTTGGCATTTGAGCCCCTACTTAAGTAGAATGAAAGAGCAAGAGGAAAGAGACTTCCAGGCTGAGAAATTAGCCAATGCAAAGTGTCTGAGGTGGGAATATGCTCGACCTGTTTAGGGGAAAGCAAGAAGGCTGGTTTGGTTGGTGCACACAGAAGAGGGGAACATGGTAGGAAACGTCCCTAGCTGCCAAGGAAGTAGAAGACCAGATGACACAGGGCTTTGTAGCCCACAGTGAGGGCTTTAGATTTTTTTTTCTCCCTAAGTTTAATGGAAAGTCACTGCATGGCTTTGAGCTGGGAAGCGACTTGATCTGATCACCTTATGAGGACAAAGAACTCATAAGGGGGCAAGAGGAAACACAGGGTGAGCAGTTAGGAGGCTGAGTTATGGCTGGATCGGGGTGGTATTGGTGGAGGTGCTGAGAAGCAGCTGGATTGGGGAGACAGTCTGCAGGAAGAGATGAAGGATCCGCTGGGGAAGTGAATGAAGGGTGTGAGACACAGAGGTCAAGAATGACCCCAAATTTCTGCCTCTGGGTAAATGAAGGGTGCTGTCATTTATTGGGGGAATGATTAAGTTTAAGGGGTAAAATCGGGAGTTTATTTTCCAATGTGTTAAATTCCAGATGTCTATTAGATATTCAACTGGTGGTGTCAAGCAGGCTGTTAAATATAGCTATTTGGAGTTCAGTGGGGAATTATGGAAAACAACATGTGAAGTAATCCCTTATAGATAGAAAAATCTCAATTCTGTCTGCATTTCTTCATTCAGCTAGTTGTTTATTGAGAACCTACTGTTATGTCAGGCACCGTGCTGGGGGCTGAGGGTGGGGTACAGCATTTGTATTTGGACAGAAACAGTCACTGTCTTCATGGAGCTTCATTACAATGCAATTAGTTCACTGGTTTCTGGGGCTCTTCTCTGAGTACTGTGTGAATATACAGAATCCCGAGCATGATAAACACTGAGATGTTCTCTGAGTCAGCAATTTGGAAGAGCTTAGATTTTTCGGAAAGAAAAGAGCTATATATAGATTTGGACAAATGTCAAATTTACCCCGTAAAATATCGGAAGACTACCTTAAAATGAATCGCAAGAGACTGTCTCAAGCAAATTAATGTGTATGACGAGTCAACTTGGTGTAATGGAAAAGCTTACAGGGCTGGAAGGAAGAGATCTGGGCCTCAGTCTGTTCTGCCCTGACATACAAGGTCACATGTATGACCTTGACTGAGTCCTTTGCTCATCTGTACTTCCATTTTCTCAATAAGATGCATCCATTGGATTTGATGTTTTCTAAAGAGTTTTAAAAATATTAATATTTTTCTTTGTATTAGTTTTGCTGGACTCTCTAACAGTTATTAAAAAATAAAAGCCCAAACCCCCAAGGGCATTCTTCTCTTGAGGGTTCATTTTTCCAAGCAAAAGAAAGTTTGTTTTTTTTTTTCCTTTTTGCAAATGGAAATTGCCTCTTTCTTTTATGATTGTAGAAATGATACATGGTCAATGCAGAAAATATAAATAGAAGTACAAAAGAGTAAAAAACTTCTATAATACCACTCAGATAACTTAAGTTAGCTTTCACCATCTGCAGCATGTGTCCTATAGCAGGTACTTAAACATTTGTTGAATGAACAATTACTGTTAATATCTTGCAAACATCCTTTTTGGTCTTCAGACTAGCGTGGGGTGTAGGGAGGGGGGAGGAAAGCATCCTTTTACCAGTTGTTTGCCTCTGAACCAGAAGAGCCCTGTATAGTAACCGGAGACTGAAACTCCCAGGACGATGTTGGATCTCTTAGTTTACACGTTTTGCAATCACAGTTGATATCTGACACCTATGGAATGTAGGGAACAATAACATTAAAGATATCATTCTGATGGTCACGAATAACACCAAGGGCGGCTCAGTTTGAGCAATATCAAGAAGGGCTGCACAACAGTCCACAGTTCTCGGCTCAGGCAGGAGTGGCTCCTGCAGCATTGGCAGGGTAGGGTCTGCCTCCTGAATCCTTTCCCCCACTCTTGGGCCCTCCTTCTCCTCCTCCCCCCATCACTGGGAGTAGCTTTCCTGGGGCACCTGAATTCCACTCAACACTTTTTATTGGCAAACCAGCCTCCTCTTCTTGATTGCCAACTCCCTTTCCAGTAAACTAAGATGGTTTTCTGATTACCTCTGAAAATGAATTAAAGCCAGATCCTGTCTGCAGACCCATACTGCATCTTTCCCAGAAGAATTAGTTGCTAAAGTTGAAAAACTGAAACATTCAACATGTAGATCTGAATTTTCAGAAGCTCTTGAAAAATTGTTAGATCTGACACCACTGGGCCCTTATCCCATAGAGCAATCAGCTGGAGCTGAAGGGCGTGTTCTTTGGCTCCCATAATCCCCACATAGCCTTATCATCTGACTGTTGGCTTTGCTCATTTACCTGATTAGCTACTTTAATTATGTAAAACATTCAGGGGTCACCTACTAAGCACCAGGCATTGTGTAAGTCCTGGGAACACAGGTGGATACAACAAAACTCCTCCTACCTTGGAGGAGTTGACAGTCCAACAGGGGAATAGACTTACATACCAGTAAATTACATGCAGTATGGTTAAGTGCAGCACAGAAAGCATGAACACAGAGGGAGAACAGAGATGGCTGACCCACTCTGTCCTGGGAAGCTGGTCAAAGATTTCCTGATGGTCATGTTTAAGCAGGGATTTGAAGGATGAATAAGAGTTCACCAGCAGATGGAGTGGTAGGGAACACTGGAAATAGTGGGGGTGGTATTAAAAGTGTGTATGTCTTCTGCTGATTAGCTGCCTGTTGCACAGGCGACCCTCTCAAGACAGCAACTACCATTCTCTTTACTGGTATCAGTCTGTCTATGAGCCTCTGCCAAGGTCATCTCATTCCTTCTTTCTATCAAAACAACAGATAAGGTTCACCACTACCAGGAAGAGCCTGCCTGACTAATCCCCACTCACTTCCTACTTACTTCAACTAAGGCTACACTCCCATTCTGGGATAATTAGTTACCCGACTGTGATTCTGTTATTGGAGCTCTTTGTTTTATTTTGGAACCACTGATATTTGAAGAACAGACCTGCATGCCAAGCCATTAATAAGTATTTATCAAATATCTACTTTCTGTAGAGAACTCTCCCTGCCATATACACCATTTTTGACCCCAACAACAGCCCAGCTGAGAAAAAAGACAAACACAAATTATGACCAGAGACTATAATTCAGAAAACATTTATTAAGTGCTTGGTATTCACAGTGTTTTTTTATCCCTCCATCCATCCAACATTCAGTGAGCACTACTATGTTCCAAGTACTGTGCTTGGCACCTGGAAATCATGCCAAGATACAATAAACATACAAGCTAGCAGGTGACATGGACAAATAAACCCATTACAATAAGTTTCCTGCCAGAGCAATGTTCAAAGTACAGCAACTGCTTATAGAAAGACGTGTCAACTGCTCCCAGGGACGCTGGGCAAGTATCACAGAGAAGATTAGCTTGAGCTGCTTATCTTGCTTGGTTTTTCCTTTTTATTATATTTTTCAACATACACAAAAATATAGAGACTAGTACAATGAATCTGCATGTATCTATTACCTGGCTTCAACAATTAGTAATTCGTGGCCACTTGTGATTCATCTTTTTACCCACCTGCTTCTCCTATGACTTTGTTTTTGTTTTGAAGCAAATCCTATAGACATTTTTTATCACTGCATCATGAATACTGAGCTGCATTTGAAAATGGAACTGAAAATGTGTGGATCATCCATCCATTAGTAACATCCTTCCTCCCCTCCTATTCTTCTGCCCTGAAGGCAGTTATATCCTAATTCCTACTAGTGACTCCAAAGCCTTGGTTAGTTCAGGATAAATACCCAGGACTTTATTGGAGCCTGTGCATTGGCTGAAAGAAAAGACTAAGCTGATCCAGTGAAAACTCCATTCTGCCTTGTCTGTTATGCTGATCACATTCTTCTGGTCCTTGGTCCTCATAAAATTGCTAACTCTTTGGAGGTTTATTGAGCACCGAATGTTTGTATAAAATGATAGCTACATTCCACACTTCCATGTATCCTCAGCAACCTCCAGGGAAACTTCAGACAGTGTGGGGCTTGCCGTGCCAGCTGAGCTGACCCAGGGTTGCTTCCTGTCACAGCTTTGATGGTCCCTGGGTTGGGAGCCTGGTTGAATCTAAACATCTGACCTCTCTACCAGCCACCCCTTCAGCATTTCCCGTCTCTCCTGGAAAGGTACCAACATCCCTGCAGTTAGTCACTCAACTCAGAACATTTATCTTTGACTCCCTCTCCCTGTCTATTCTCATTCTGTCTATTCTTTTCAAGCAATCCACTATTGCCCCCCCCTTCAATGATCATACTTTCATCCAGGCTACCATTCCCTTCTCTCAAGTACAGCAATATCTAAGCAACTATCTTAACTTTAGCACCCTCATGCCTGCCTCATTTTTCGGGCAGCGGCCCAGTGGTCTTTATAAAACCCCCTGCTTAAAACCCTTTCATGGCTCCTAACACCTACAGGATTAAGACCCACTTCCTCACCGCAGCCAAGGAGACCCTGCAAAATTTAAGGCCTCCCGCGTACTTCTCCAGCTTCATCTGCTACCCCTCTCTCTAGCCTGCAACCAAACGATTTTTTCAGGGTTTTCTGGGGTCTTTGTGCTCTCACCTGGGAAGCTCCTATTTTCTCATAAAGAAAGTTTACCAATAGTGCCCTCGCTTACAGGTGTTAACTCATACGAGTCCACAGCAACATTAAGAAGTCGTTTTCATTTTGCAGATGGAGAAACTGACGATGAGCACCTTACCTATGGCCACACAGCTAGTAAGGGGAAGAGCTGAGTTTAGGATTCAAACCCGCAGCTCCAGAGGCCACGGGCTTAACCACAGAGTCCCATCCTGCCCGCAAATCCTTCTACCGCAACAGCGAGCACCCCTCTCAGCCGTCCACACCTCCCGGCGGAACCTCGGCAGCTACGCAGCCGGGACCAGCCCGCTTGGCGGAAGAAGAGAAGGCGGCTTCTGATTGGCCGCCTCCAGCGACGAAGGCCGAGAGGGAAGCGCGCGGGGGCGTCGCGGAGAAATGACGCAACGCCGCAGCTCTTTAAAGGCGCCGGCCCAGCGCGCTGCGGATGGCGCAGGCGCGTTCCGGGGCTCCAGCTTCTGCTCAGATCGCGGAGCCGAGCCGAGCCGGGCCGGGCGGGAGGGCGCGCGCGCGCGCGGAGTGTGCGGACGGGGCGCGCGGGACGCGAGCAGCTCGAGGGGTGCTGCCTTGGCGGCGTCGGGAGCCTGAGCCGCCGGCTGAGGAGCGGGCGCCGCGATGGCCGAGGGCAGCGCCGTGTGCGACCCTCAGCACGCCGCGCGCCTGCTGCGAGCGCTCAGCTCTTTCCGCGAGGAGTCGCGCTTCTGCGACGCGCACCTGGTCCTCGACGGTGAGGAGATCCCGGTGCAGAAGAACATCCTGGCGGCGGCCAGTCCGTACATCAGGTGAGCAGGGGGCCGCGGCGGGCGGGGCCGGGCGTGTCCCCGGAGCTCCCGGTCCGCGACCCCCAGCCGCCGGGTCCCCCGCGTCACGGCTCGGCGCGGAGTCCCTCCCGGCACGCGCCTCAGCCGGGCCTCGCGTGTCGCCGACCCCCAGGGTAGCCAGCCCTGCGGCCTCCGGGCCGGGCCCGTGCTCCTCACTGGACCCCAGCGCCCCTCGGCGGTGCTCCCGGACCCGGTCGGCGACCCCCGGGTTTCCTGCAGCCCCGGAGGCCCCTCAGACGCGGCCCCGGCCGGCCCGGGACCCGCACCCGCGAGCTGGGCGGGGCCGCGCCCGGGAAGAGCCGCCCCCTCGCCCAGGCCCGGCCCGCCGATCCCGGCTGAAGTTTGCCGGCCGTTCGCCTCCTCACCGTCGCGCTGTGGGCCGGGCCGGGAGCGCCCGTCCGCGCGGGGACGCCGAACACACCCTGCTTCACGGGTGTGGGCAGCGAGGACACTCCGCTGGATCTTCTCCTCGGGATAGGTGACGTCCGACCCCCGCGGCCGGAGGTCTGCCCGTGTCTGACGTGACGTGTCCCCTGCCTTGTGGGCACTCTGTTTAAAAGAAGGGTTGTGCGTTGCAGACACACGTGAAAGTCAGCTGTAGCGAATGTGAAAACGTACTGTGGGTTCTCAGCATTCAGTTACAGTCCAGGGGCCGTGAGATTCTAGCGACTAAGGGCATTTTAAAACTTAAGTAAAGCAAAGCTTTTAACCTGATTTGCCAGATCAACTAACCAGGGTAATTAAAAGGTGCACGCACAAGTGTATCAGATCTTGCAGGAGGCTGTTTTCTGTTAGCAACTTTCTTGCCAAGTAAGTGGTCCTTTTAACAAAAGAGGGGGAAATGCTAAAAGCTGGAGAAACTGCCCAGTAAGCTGGTTAAATATAGACTAAGGTAGAAAATGTCACTAGAATTGATAGGTCAGACAAAGCAAAATCATGTGTACTGTATTCTTAGTGCTTTGTCCCAGCAGAACTCACCATACATACTGCACTGTAACCTTTGCCTTGGAAGACGTTTGTGCTAACCCAGAAGCAGTTCAAGTGCTCTTGTAAGTTCTGCTTTCTCCTGGCTCTCTTTTGTAAATCTATTTGCACCCTCTCTTTGTGGATTTAAAGAGGGCGTGGTGAGGATCTTTGTTAGTATGGAATTTAGATTGTCAAAGGGACAGCTCCTAGCTGGCATTTGAAAGATTTGAACAATCGATATCAAATTGGAAGCAGCGGGCCAAAGTCTTCCCTGAATCCAGAGTCTTCCCTGTTTGGGGAAATGCTTAGGAAAACTACTTTAGATGCATTATTGTTACAGTTCTTTAAATGGCATCTCTTCAGCTTAAAAGAAGTAAATTGCAAATCACTGAACACATGCTTTCCATCCCTGATCATTTTTCTGCATAGCATTCGCCACTATAATACACTCTGTATTTTACTCATTTACTATGTTGATCTTTCTCAGCCACAATGTAAGCTCAATGAGGCTGTGATTTTTCTTTTGTTCATCGCTGTACCCTCATACTCAGAATGAACAGTGCCTAGTGGTTTAGTAAATGTGTTGAATGAATGACTGCTTCCTTTCTACCACAGCAGATTGGACATTAGAGGATTGGCCTCGTTACATTTCCATGTGAGTTGTTCAGTTATACCTAATTGGGAAGAGCACTGGACTGAGAGTTTGAAGACCTGCTTTCTGCTTCCAGAAATTTTACTTGTATTAGCTGTGAGTTGTTGGTAAACGACTTACTTATTCTTGTCTTCAGCTCACTGGTCTGACAAATAAGGAATAAAAATCATCTCATTTGGTCTTTGACCCTCCTGTGAGGAAATATGTAATAGTGTTTTGAACACCTTATAGGTCTGTGCACAAGTCTACAAAGGTAGTACCCATTGAATTAAAAAAGAGCTCCTAGTCCTTTTCTGTCACTTTCTAAATAAGAAAATGGGAGCTCGGCGGGTATTAGTGACTTGTAGTATGAGGCTATTCATACTTAACTGGTTGAACTAGGATTAGGTTCAAAATGAATAGTACCTAGCCTCCTACTCTTAGCATTACTAAGTTACAGCCTTACTTATGTTTAACTGTTCTTTGTGTAAACTCTATCACTACCTGGCACACAGTATGTTATAACTAAAATGCCTATCAAGCACTTTCATGTACTGTCACATTTTGATTTTCATTTTCAACCATCTTGTGCAGTTGGGCAGATATTTTTTGTTATGAATAAACATGAGTCTCTGGATATGTGTTTCATCAGTGACGGATTAATTGCTTTAAGTTTATTTGGCTACTGAAGTGATAGACTGTCTTGGGATTTTTTTTTTTTTTTCAAATTGTCAATTTCAAAGCTGTTCCAGAGTAATTTGACCAATCTAGATTACTATGTAGAAATGAACAAACTGGTTAGTAATTTGTAACACCAGTAATATCGGGCTTTTACAATATATCTTTTTTGTTTGAACAGTACTTCAGGGAATTATATTGAAACAAAGTGGATTTGTATATTCCAGCACTTGATGTTTCTTATCTCTCCCTTTTGAAGCATAAGCATTTAGATTTGTGATATCATTAATATATCAATTTGATGTTCAAAAATCTGATAATCTCTGAAGTTTTATTTAAATCTGACATTGTTTCAAGTCCTTAGTTAGCTTAGTTTTGGTAACTGTCACAAGTGGTCTAAAATTACATGGTTTTGAAGCAATGTTACATTTTGCTTCCTGTGTGTCCCACAAAGGGAGCCAGTCCAGCTTTGTCACACTAGGATTTAAAGTAACTGTTTGGCATACTTCCTACTTAGTATAGAAAAGTCTTTTAACTAACATATTGGTTTAATATTTTCCTGTCCTTTGTCTTTGGTCTAGCATTTGTTTTATCCTCCTGATAGCCTTAGCAATCAACTCACATTATAAGACTTTAAATATAAAAGGAAAAAGCCAGGAAACTCAACTTCAGCATCAAGACCCTTATGATAAGCTGAAAGAGGTCTGACATTTCTGGGTTGTGTAGAGTATGTGTTGTGCAGCCTTACAGTATAGGTGCTCCGGTGAGGAGGCAGGGCCTCCTGTAGTCTGTCATTCAGCACAGTATGTGGGATGGTACTTTCCCCAGCATGCCCTTTCCCCAAAGCTTTCCCTCATTCTGATCCCTGGATGACATTTTTTCCTTTGGTTTATTGGGAAAACTAAATCTAAAAGTGGCTGACAAACTTTAAGAATGACAAAACTGAATTCATAGTTATAATGACCCTCAGAATTTTCCCTTTCTCAGCAACTCTGAGGCCTTCTGGGAAGAGCTCCCTGAGGTTTATAGGAAATTTCCCTTTCTTTTGAATATTGCTGTTTGTTTCATGTCTGAGGCTCTTCCGATTCTGGCACAGTCCCATTGATCTGATGCAAAGTTCAGACCCATTTCTGTCCTGGGCTGTGGTTCTTGGGCATTGATGTCAGTGAACCGGATTTGAAAATGAATTGCTCTGTGCTTCTGCAGTGACACTGTAGTGGGTCTGTACAGGTTCCTGGTCCTGTGTTTACTTGTATAAGTTTAGGCTTTTCTAAGGACCTATGGCAACATTAGTTTGGTTAGCTTTCAGTCCTGGAGAGTAAAGGACAGAAAGAGTCCCAAGATTTTTAAGTCCTTTGATGAGTCAGCTCACAACGTAAACAGTTCTCGTTCTTATTTTTTGAGAGAAAGCTGGCTAGTGAGGGTGGTGTGAAACATTGGGCCTCCAATCCAGCTCAGTCATCTTGAACAACTTTTCCGGGACCTAGTTTCCTTATATGTGAAGTGAGGTTAGTTGGGCTACATGAACAGCAAATCCCCTTTAAGTCTAAGTTATTTAGCTCTATGCTATTTTCGTTTTGTTTTGCATGCGGTAGAGAGGAAGGTCTGTTTCTATTTTTGTAGCTTTATTGTGTCATTTAAAGTTTTATTATATATTGATGTTAAAGCATTTCCCTTCCCTGTCATATAGAACTCCATTGGGTAGTGTGCTGTATAAAGTCAGCCCAGTAGAGTTGTGTCGTAACAAGCATTTATTTTATGCTGTTAATCTGGGTGTGTTCCAAGGCCTAACTGTCGATGAGCCTGTCTTGCCATTTAAATCTAAAGTTTAACTCATAGATGATACTGATGAAACTACTTAAGGAGACTAATGTGATCTTGATAGGAGGTCCAGGTTTCATTGTAACATGGAAATTGTCATTAACCTTTTTTTGATATCTGACATTTGCACTGTAATTTAATGTCACATGGGAACTAAAGTCCATGGGTATGGGGGTATTGTGTAGTATGTGCAAAGAATGCTCTTAGTCTTCAATTTCCTTTTCTTGATTAATTTGTGTGAGTAACTGAACAACCTCTTATCAGATTCTTTACTTCCCTGTTAATGCTGAGAACACACCATGGAGACAGCAGCATCCACTAAGTATTCCCTGGTAATGAGGAAAGGCTGGCAGGGAAGCAGTAATTTCAGAGTCATGCTCAGTTAATAGTATTTTGCTTTCTTTGCAATATCTTTATCATCTTTTTTTACACTTGTGATTTGCATTTACAGTCTTCCATATCTATAGCAGGTCCTGGATGATTGTTGTAAGGATTTTGAATAGTGATTACAACCTGTGAAGTTTGCTCCTGGGTTCAGTTAGAACTTCTAATTTCTTAGTCTTACTGAATCCTGAGCAGTCTAAAAGTTAAGTTGACTTACCCATACTCTTGTGGTGATGGAAAATAAGTTACACCTGAATTATCTTTTAATAGATCTAGGTCTTACCTGTTTTTATCCACCTACCATAAGGCATCCCTAACAACTACTTAAAAGATGAAATCTGTCCCAAAGATGTTACAGTACACTGGTTTAAAATTATTTTCCTTTCCTTTTCTTTTCTTCTTCTTCTTCTTTTTTATAATTACAGTCTTGTTTGATTAATCCTCATTTTTACTTAGTTTTTCAAAAGTGATATTAAAATAT